TGTTGTAAAGAAGTCTCCGCTCCAAGCTCACTCCTGTGATGGACTACAATCTCACATTTAGTTTACCAATTTGTATTGAGATTGTAGTCCACTACGGGAGTGAGCTTGGAGCGGTGGCTACTTTACAACACACACAGGGACCATGGGAAACAAGAGTAGTCACCCTCCAGAAGGAAGGACAGTGTCAGCACCAATTCAGAGATGATTTGAGGATCTATAGCTGAGTGATACACATATAAAATAAATTTTTGTTAATAATTAAGATACTTGAATGCATTTTTAAGATATAACTCCTAAGTTTAGTGTCACTTTAATTTACTTTGTAATATATACAATACAATAGATGTAATACTTTTGAACTGCTTCAGTGGCCCACCCAGTCCTCTAGTTACATCCTGAAACAAGTCTCCAGCTTCACAATATGACTTTTTGTTTTTCAAATTCTTGCTTTTCACAACATGTTAAATCAATTCTTTAGCCAAAAAGTGTCCCTACCCTTCTGAAGAGGCATGACAAACATGATGTTTTTGTAGCTAGTCATTCCTAATCCCCTTTGTTATAAATCAATTAAGACTCATTAAGTTTGTGCACTAGGCTCCAGTAGCTTCCAAATAATAATTATCATTATTACTAATTAAAGTGATATTATTTGTTCCAGATGGAGCCTCCTCTGCACCTTTTCACCCTGTCCTCCTACTATCCTATTGTGGTAGACACAAATCATTTTGCATGATCTTGCCATAATGAGTTTATGATGAAAATAAACAGATGGCCCAATGACAGAAAATAACACACTGTAGGATCACTTTAACACCATGACACCTGCAGATGCCTTAGCCTGTCATTTGAGAGATATGACCATAGGCCTCTTTGGCAGCATAAACAAAGAACAAACTTCAGTAGTTAATTTATTTGTGGAAAAAAATAGTGTCTTCCCCTTTATGCCTTTTATATGGTTTGGTAGTAAAAGCAATGTGCCATAGTCTTCAGCCTGGAACTGCAAAGAGACCATATTATTACTGTGTGAGCTATGGTCACAGCCCTTAAACACAATGCAATACAGCTGACAATTATATAGGCTGTGGATTGTAATTCTCTAAGCTACCACTGGAAACTGAGTTTTCAATGGCACTTCAGTTTAATATTTAAAGCTTTTGATGTATTATTGAAGTCATATTTAAAGTCCACTCTAGTATTGTGTACCTCCAAATTCTTTATGTATTATCATGTTCATATAGCATGTTTATCTGTAGAGGAATTATGTGTGACAGACTCAAAAAAAGGCCTATCAGGTTCCCTGGATTATGTGAATTGGAGTCAGCTGGTGCAAGACACTAACATTTAATAGCCATGGCACATTAATTATAATATTGGGCAACCCCTCAGCAATCAACTTAGCATCACTACATGACAATAGGAAAGTTTTTAAGAACATTTTGAAATAAGTGAAAAAATAAACAGTGCAGTCTCTGTGTGGCTGACACATTGGAGTTGATTTAAAGCAGAACTCTGGGGGGGAAAAAATTCTTAACCCTTGCAGTGGGGCTACCCCCCCCCCCCCCCCCCCCCCCCCACA